CTAACAAATTCTGTGAAAGGATATTGTAGGACATGACTGTAAAATCAAATTTTGCCTCACTTTCTCTATTGCTTTGGTCAGTTGCTTTATTTTCAGAGGTCTTCATTGTTCTACTGTGCTGACAAAAGTATTCCCAATGTCTTTGGATTGCTCCTGTTAAAAATACATGAAACAGAAAACAAGTTATGTAATATTCCTTCTTACTGCACTTAGAACTCTATCTACTGATTACTATTTGCCTTTCAATTTCCCTTTCAAATTGATTAAGCAAATCAAAAAGCTTGTTTGATTAGCAGTGCTTTAGGCCATCTGTTTAATATGAACTACCTATGAATATGGGTAAAAATCACACAAAGCAGTTTATCATAAATTTTAAACTGTTTTGAAATTAGGAAACTGCACTGTTCAAAGTCACACTACACAGTCCTGCTCCTTGCAGAAGTGCTGTCAARCAACATCTAGTCTGTGCCATACGTTTATGCTGGTGTCATATACTGACTCCTCAGTGGAGAGGGGTATATGCTGCTCTAAAGGGTGTGTCCCAAGTTGTCATATTCCAGCTTCTCGACCCTATGAGCACGTGTYGCCAGCAAGGGTAAGGAACAGAGGCTCGCTCTTTTTCTGTGCACAGTCTGATGAATTCCACCCTAAGCCCTCAAAGAGTCTGTTCTCCAGGTTGCAGAAAAGATACTGAATCTGGATTTCCCTCACGGATGTTGAGACATTAAGATCCATAAACCTCTGACAAACTGACAAGACTTCTGAAGAGACTTGCTTTATCTTTCTGCATGCTTACTTTCAGATATATTATTYGCATATGAAGCTAGTAAGAACATCTGCACATTATTAAGTACCCAACTATTTTTCAAGTGTTCATAATTCATGATCAAAGCTGACTTCCAGCCATGCCCCAAGTCACCTGCATTGCCAGCTGGTGGCAGACTGAAGCTATACCTGTAGCCCTCTGCTCTGAGCACTCCTCCCTATACCCAAAGGTACAATCCCCCCCTGACAAGCAGGCACTAAGCTTCATCATTGTGCCCAGGTTAGTTAAGGCTTTACTTGGCATTTGTAATGAATAAAGCAAAGCTCTAATTAGTGGTTTTACAATAGTAGAGAGGCTGTGCYGCTTCCCAGCAGGTGTTTTAGTTACTGTCACCTTACAATGTGCAAATAAAAGGTAACCAGGGAGGTTTATAATTCTAATCACTCTCTCAGACAGAGGCATATGAAGATGTACTTGGAGACAGCCTTAAAAAAGGGCAAGGCAACCTCATTTCCTCCAGATCCTAAAGATACCTAAGTGGTTTATTGATCTTCAAGAACTTCATTTTTATGGGCATGTGTGTCCAAAAATCCCTTTGTGGTGCTGCTGGGATTTGCCTGTCTCAGTCTCGGCACAACTTCCAGTTTATTTTAAGGAAGTGATTTATGCAAGAAGGCTCTGATTGAGACTGGGCCCCTCTATTTTTCCCYGTCCCTCCCAGTAGACAAAACTGTTAATATCCACAATAGTCAGTAAAACATTTTGATGCTCTGGATCAAATCTGATGTGGAAGATTATACAGATAACAAGCTAAAGGAAACACTTCTAAGTTTCATAAAAGCCTGTAATAAGCTGGGTAGACATCTTCAAGCTTCTTAATTGCCTTTATCTGGGTAAGTACCTTTGCTGGTTGCTCTGTCAGTCATGGTGCAAAATGTGCACAAAAGAAAACACAAACCATACAGGAAACAAACAACATTAAGTCTCAGTTATCCCTTAATTCTCACTTATCTCAAACACTGATAACTCAGCTGAGCCTGAAGGAAGCCCATTCAGGTTCAGCAGGGCTTATCAGCTCAGGTATAGTGAAAGGAATTAAGCCATGCAACTTCCAAGGCCAGCTCAGCTCTGCAAGCAATTTAGCTGAATCTTCTGCTTTAAAAGCAGCCAAGAGCTAACAGACCTGAACTGGGAGCAGATCCTGGAGAGAATCTGAATCAAGCTCAGGGCTCCTCTGCAATCTCTGGCATGTGATCTAGCATTCATTTTGTGGATTATCTCAGTTTGTGCTATGCTGTGCTAGATGATGTGGAATTGACTGTCTTTTACTGCTGAGCAGTACAACACAGTTCTACTCGTTCTTTCTGGCAGACGGAGGGCACAAAGAAAACAGCTTACAGAGTGAGCAGCAATACAAACTGGAACACATTCCCCCCCTCTCCGTCAAAACTGATGCTCTCTGTTGCCAAGCTAAACAAGAATTCAAAAGATACAGGTAATATAGCTTATAACTTGATAGAAAAATGTTTAGTGTTACAAATTAACAAGCAAACTACATCCTTTACCTCTCTTGCTGGTGCAGTTTACTTCATTCTGCACTATGGAAAGATGCAGTGCTTCCCTCTGATTAGAGCTGCTTGTTTCTGCTTCAGGAGTCRAAGTATCACGCTGGCCACTTAGTCTTCTCTTCTTTGTAGATGGCTCTCCTCCCTCAGACTTCATATTGGAATTAGATAGATGAAAGCAACAATTCTGCGTGAAGTTATCAAGCTGCCAATTTGAGTTCTGAAACTGTCTCCAAGGTCCAAGGAACAGAGGCCACCTCCAGTTTGCCGAGAAATCAAACGGAACAGAAAATGGAAAAGTGGCCCAGGGATAGTGTCCAACCCATCTCATGCAGTTGGAAAAGGGGTTGTTCCAGGAAAACACTTGGGAACTATTCCAGTGGGCAATCCAGTCTCTGCCCACCCTCTGCATTTGACGGGGCAGCATGGAGTRTCTGTTAAAGAAGGACAGGTTTTATTACATAAAACACAATTACATTTCCCTGTAGCCCACTGTTTGTAGATGCAAGCCATCTTGGTTATAATTTATAAGTGATATGCTTTCCTTACAAATTAACCCATACAAGATAATGGATATTATTTTCCTATTAGATTCTTACCCCATGTAGCTGAATCAGAACTGCCTTTTAGACACAACTATACAGTGCCTTTTTATTTGGTACTGCAATTATAATTGAAATATTAAGATATTATACCTTTACCCAAATTATCTGCAAAATGGGACTTTATAAAGCTCCAGGAGAAAAAAAAAAGTTACAAGATCAGTTTGCAAATAATGCCATCTAATTTTCAAGCTCCTTTCATCTGAATAAGCKTTTACTATTTACCCTCTGCCTGTTGAAATCAACTAGCTCCTCTTCCAAGTGCTCAGCAGAGAATTATTTTGCATGCCACAAACATTTTATTATAAAGCTATTGGAAAGAACCAGAAAAATCAGTTTCCCTCAAAAARTCACCAGAGCGCTTAAGATGCCACTGACTCCACAAATAAACAAAGCACGTGGCAGGAAGGTAGATGGTAGTAACTCTGTCTCCTTTGCTGACACCAGTGTATACAACTCTCAGATTTTACTATTTGGATTCTTATTTTTAAGTGGAGGGAAAAAAAAATGCAGGTTAGGGCATGGTTCTCAGACAGCCATGAAAATGAGGGTAGGGGTTGCTTTGTTTTTCCATTAACCAAAAAAAAAAAAGGAAAAAAAAAAAGTCTCCACACAGATCCAGGAGAGCAGAGTGACACAGCTCAGGCTCAGCTTCCCCAATGGTTAAATAACAACATTTATTTCATGTAACCGGAGTCCACAAAAACATCGAAGTCAGTTGGTCTAAATCCAGAGCCTCCTGTTTTTCATACAGGCTAGAGAACAAGTGTAAACACATCTTTGGGCAAAAACAACTTGTCCTAGAAGGGCTGCAGAGCTGTGTGCTAAAGCAGTCCTCCAAGAGGACTGCGCTCGGCTCCGTGGTGCCCGCGGAGCGCCCTCTTTCCGAAGGCTTCCTGGGATTCTTTTTTACGGGGGAAAAAAAAAAAAAAAAAACCCATAATCCAGAACGCCTTAGTTCTGGCTCAGAAGCACAGCGCGACACAAACACCACGACCTAYAAGCTGCAAGAAGAGCTCAAGCCTACGCTCAGCTCCACTAAGAGCCGCCCTGCTGCGAGCAGCGGGCTTTATTTTAAACAAACAGGACTGTCAGTAACACCCCCCTCCCCTGCCCCGAACCAAACCGCGCCTGCGCGACCCCCAACGGTCACTGCGGGCCGTTAACGGCCTCCGTAACGGCCCGGGCCTCTGCCGGGGCCGCGGCTCCCGCGGGCCAGGCCCGCCCCAGTGCCTCCTCGCCCCCCGCCGCGGCTGCCGTTACCTGGCGGCGAGCCCGGCGGCTCGGAGCTCCCCTAGCCGCTCCTCGCAGCCCCGGCGGCCCCCGAAGGGGTCATCCCCGGGCAGCGCCAGCTCCGCCCGCGGTGGCCGCCGCGGCGCTCCCGGCCCCGCCGCTTCCCCCCGCGGAGGCCGCACCCCGCGCGCGCTCTCTCCTGGGCCTTGTAGTCCTAGGGCCGCCCGCCGCCATCTTTGTTCCGGGAGCCCGGCGCCCGGGGTGCGCCGCCATCTTGGGTCACGGCAAGGAGCGCCACGGCGGGAGGCGGGTAGATGAAGCCCCGAGAGCCATTTTAGGTGAGGGCAGCGGCGAGGTGAGGCGAGGTAACGCCCGTCCTGCCAGGGCAGCGCGCTTGCGCAGTGCAGCCGGAATATGGCTTAAACTGACCCATTTTGATTGTTTTTTTTTTTTTTTGGGGGGGGTCCTTCAAATGCATGTAGCACTGTATTTATGCAGTAGTTTCCATAAGCGACCTTTTCCTGAAGGGAGACGTCCCTGCGGGGTGTGAAGCTGCTCAAAAAAGAGCAGCACTTCATTTCCTCCCCTCCTTGGGAGCCGGGTGCACTGCTCATACAACCCTCCTTAMCGAGATATGAGGATATGATGGAACCTGATGGGACATTATCATTTCCCCTTCTTACCGGAAAGCAAAAGCCACTCACCTGAGAACGTGGTTTAGTTGTCTCCCATTAAAGCGCACCCGAGCCCTGGCGCGGTGCTCCCCGTGTGTGGGCACTGTGCGGTGCAAACGCGGGGCGCCCGGTCGCACACGGTGCCGTGCGTGGGAGAGCAGCCCTGCGCAAACATGCAGAGCTCTCGCCTCCCAGCTGCGTAAACAAGCCGCTCTCCTTCCAGCCCATGAGCGGCTCRCTGCTTCTGGGGAGGTCCTTTGAGGACAAAGTAAGTGCTGGCTCTGTTTACGGCAAGAAAATGTAATGTAAGGCGTATGAAATGTGATCRTGCTAAATAGCGCGGATCCTGTGCAGGAACTGCGGTCAAGTAAATATATATTGCTCCCCTTTTGTGGTATTTGTTTCATATAAGTGCTTTCAAATGATTTAAGGAAGAGAAATATATGCTAATATATGCTAGTTGGGGGAGCTTCTGCCTGGGCTGTATGTCAGACATGCTTCTCTTACAGCTGGTGTTGCATGTCTGTGTGTGAGAATAAAGGCTATAGAATAATTTGTGATGACTTTTTTTTTTTTTTTTTTCTATGACAGCTCTGGGGCTGTGACTTGGATCCTCCAGGAGCCAGGATCACGTGGAAGGACTGCAGGCTGCCTGCACTCCAATACCAGAYTCCATAAAAGAAGGTGAGAGTCCTTTTAAATTTCTTTATTGGTATTTGAGTGAGGATTGCCTGTAGGCTTGCAGATAATTACCAGATAAGGGAGGGTTTGTGGGTTTTTTAAGGGGAAGCAGTCAGGTGTGGCGGGGTGGTCATGACATGAAGCCAGGTAGTGGTAGGACAGCTGTGCCCCAGCTCCTCAGCAAGATCAGGGTGCTGATGGAGGCTGCCSAAACCGATGGGTTCAGAGTTTCCATGTGCTGGATGAAGAGAGTTTTGCTAAGATCCTCCCCAAGCACTTCAAGCACAACAGCATGGCGAGCTTCATGAGGCAGCTCATCTCCCATGGCTTTTGTAAAGTTATGCAATATGAATYGTGCTCAACTAAGCAAAAATGATGTGGTTCTCGCAAATATCAACATCTCTTTTTCAGAAAAGGCCAGGAAGCATTGTTGTCAAAGATAAAGAGGAAAATGCCTTTACCTCAGAGAAAATTTTAAGATTGATCCAGAGGAGATCCACAAAATGTTAGCAATTATTCATCAGGTGCAAGGAGAACAGGATATATTAGAATCCACACCTGAATCATTAAAACAAGAAAACAAACCCCTTTGGAATGAAGTTCTTGATGTTAAATGGAAGTAAATCCAGCATCAACAGCTCTGTGAAGCAAATATTGCGCAGTTATAACCCAACAGTGGGCCTGCCACGTAAACAGCATGTTATGATAAATAGCGCAGGAGATGACAATTAGCAGAGCCAAACCACAGAAAAAGAGTGTGATAGGATGGGAAGTCAATGCAGGTTTGAAATTAGAGACAGTGACCTTGAAGGAGATCAACCAAGAGTTCAAGCAGACATATCTTGCATGTGGACAAGAATGGCTGAAGACTTCTCAGAAAACTTCCGTATCACTTACACAGACCTAGACTCCATAAAGAAAGATGCAAGCAGAACTGATGCTGCTTCTAATTTCATCTTGATCAGTGAGGTAGGCATTAAGTCAGAACCCTGAGTYACTGAGGGCTGTAGCTAAACCTAGGTCCTCTTGGGCAGAATGCTCAGGAAAAATRTATCCCTCTGATAGAGACTGGGTACTTGAACATCACAATTAAAATTGTGAAAATCAGGAATATTTACAATCTGAACAAGCAACAGGCTACAGTGGATTAGGCATAGAAGGAGAAGATTACAGTTCTRCTTGCTCAGATTCTGGACATGTTGAGAAAAGAAGAAAAATTAATCACTTTGCCGTCCAAAAAACTGAGTAATGCTTGAATCAGATGTACAACGACAGCATAAAACTATCTGAAAGGATATTGGCTTTGGAAGAAAAGCCTCATTGGAAGCTCTTATCATCTACCTTGTCTTCTCTAGCCGATTTCATTGTGAACCCAGAGAAATCTCAAAGGCAGTCCCAAGCCTCCAATCCAGGAGGATTAACTGAGAGCTATGCCTCTTAGGGTCGCTTTTAATCTGAGGAGATATGTGAGGAGATATGTGCRGAGTTTGGACTCCTAGGAACAGTCTTTCAGGTATTTAAATGGCACAGTGTGCTTGTGTGTGTTGTCTTGTTTTTCATCTCGCTCAGTTCCCTGGTTTTATTGTCAGGGTGGATATTTAATTCAGTGCRCTGACATCCAGGCTGCACGGGTCCCTTTCTGACATTCACTCCCTGAAGGGGTGAGAATGGGAACAAGTTAATCTAAGGAAATCCCAATGCCCCAAAGAGACTCCTGCATAGGATATATACATACTCCAACCTGCTGTGGGTATTTACATAAATGAAGTTTCTGGGCTGAATCCATGGACCTGCAGCGGTGTTGAACTATTCCAGTACCATGCTTGATTCCGTACAGGGGAAACTTGTTCTGCCCTTAAATGTTCTGATTTTCTCGCTTTACCACTTTCTGAGGAGTTAAGAAATATCATTGGCATATACAGGCTGCCTATTTTACATTCTGTTTCTCTGCCAATTTCTATTTCAATTGGTTCAATTTCTGCCCAGTGTCCTTTTTATTAAGTCCCTATACTTCTGTTAATCTTTTTGGTAAAGATTTTTTGTTCAGGCTTGGTTGTATTATCCAATATTTCCTGGATAATGTATTCCTGGAGGTTCCCGTATATCAGAAGGGACAATTCCTTGCTGTAATATGTGATTATGATGATTCAAGGGAAATATCACCTTCCTCTACGTGTGAGGATTCAACAAATGACCTCTTAAATTGATTTCTGTCTCAGTTATGCTCCACTCGTTCCAGCAAGGTGTTATATCCGCACAAGTGGCTGAAATCGTTKCTTTAACCTGTGCCTGCGTTCTTGCCAAAGGACTCTACTACAGTCTATACAGACTCCAGATATGCCTTTGAACTTGTTCATGGCTTTGGACAACTCTGGAAACAATTATCTTTTTTTTTTTATTTCAGCAGGAACTTCTATTCACATATGTAGAGAGTCTTAGATGTGTTATAGCTCCCTCTAGCACCTGCTATTGTGAAATGCCAAACTTACACCTCTTCTTGCAATGACACTGCTATTGGAAATGCCATTGCAGATCATCCTGCAAGAAACACAGCCCTTTACAATTCCCTGGCTGTCAAAAGATCAAATCTTCTTCTCATTCTTGCAAGACCTTGTGCAGTTGCAGGACAATAACCTTGAAACTAGGCGGAATGTTTGGTTGTGACGTTGCTGTTTTTTACAGGCTGACACTCTTGGTTGCGCCCAGGTGGCCGCCTGTTTGTACCTCAGAATCTCTTGCCTGACCTCACTCGTCTGGCCCATTCGGTGGCCTGCATGAGCCAAGGGGAGATGATAGCTACCTAGAAATAGATTGGTTTGCACCAGATTTTACCTCGGTTCAACAAAAATATTGTAGTACCTTTCCTCTTTGCTTAGCCCACAATGTGAGAAATAGAACGGAAAAAAAACCTTTCAGCACAACCCAGGCCCTATGGACCATTTGTTAGACTACAAAATGAATTTATTCAAATGCCCCTGTGCTGTAATCAGGAATATGTTTTAGTAATAATTGTCATGTTCTCTTTTTTTTTTTTTTTTTTTTTTTTTTAAGAAGTGAATCTACCTAAGAGAGCTAATGCTATCATGGCAGCAAAAAAGTTGCTGAAGGAGTTTATTCTTTCATTTGGGCTACCTTTGATAATCGTCAGTAATGAGGCACTCATTTTACAGGGCTGATTATTTGTGGTGTGTGCAAAGCTTTGAGCACTGAACAGCAGCTGCAGCGTGCAGGCCTTCTCCAAACAAGTGGAACTGTGGAAGGAAAGGCAACCTAAAAACGTGCATTGTGAACATTTGTGCAGAGGCTCATCTTAATGAACAGGGGCCCTCCCTGCTGCATTAATTTGCAAATTAAAAGAAATTTGAAACATGGCAAACTGGAAGCATGTGAATTTATTATGGGAAGGCCTCTGTGGTTGCCACCTACACCTCCAATTGGACCAAGAGACTTAATATTCAAGGATGACTGAATGCTAGGTTATTGCAGGGAACTAATTAAAAGTGTTAGGTCTATATACCCATGGGTGTGTGATGCTCCTCCTGAACCTGCTGGTATGTTACCTGTCGCAACCTGGAGACAGGGGATATGTGAAAGTCCACCAAGGAAAGACCTCTCTTCAGCATCACTAGAAGAGACCTTACGAGATCGTATTAAGCACCAACACTGCTGTACACCCTGAAGGACTGACCACTTGGGTACACACATCCTACCGCAAGAAAGTGACATCACCTGCAGAGCCTGGCCCAACTAAGTCCTCTTTCAAGCAAGAATAATCAAATTGGGAACTTCATTGTGAGCCAGACGTGACTCCTAGGCTCCCACGAGGAGCCACGGAACAACGTGCCTGTTAACAGTTGAGTGTCTTAGAAGGTACCTATGGACCCTGGTATCACCCTGTGCAAAATTTAAATRGTGCCCACCATTTTTTTTCACTAACTGTTATCTTAAGGTAAGAACACAGGAAGAATTCCCTCCCCTCCCCTCCTCTCCCCTCCCCTTCTTTTCCAGTGCCTTGGATGTATAGCCAATCAAGAGAGTGTTAGCTGCACATTGGACATGTTTCCTCTGCAGCTGCTGGTGTGTATATGTGAGAATAAAGACTCCCTATAAACTAAATAAGGATGAAGCAATGGCTGTCTAATCCTTTTATTACACTGAAGGGTTATAAGAGCTGCATGATGTAACCAAGTGGTCAAGTAGTGGTCTATGAGTAAATAAATGATCCAGCAATTGATCCACTGTGCTAGARAACGCTGTTTTGTTGATTGAAGGCCAAGCGTATTTTCTGTCAGCTCTTCATTATTTTGGATGGGGCCAACACAAATGCAATTTGCCTATCTGCAAGTTTGCTATAACTAAAATCAGGGAAGGTAGCAGTAACAAAGTATCCTCTGTGATCACTTTAACCCTTTTACTTCTGATTTAAGCAAAACCCAAATTACTTTTCCACGATTGTACACTAGAATTACTTCATACAAAAGATCTATTCCCAAAAAGTCTCTTTCAAGGAAACATTAGCTTCATTACTATTGATGTAAGAAAACAGTTACTATCTGTTGGGGATTGATATATATTCTAGCTGTAATGCTGGCAAACTTGCTTTGGAGTAATGATGATCAAGAGCACATTATTTCTTGAGGTGCTTCTTGTCACAGTTACTTGCACCATGTTAGATATATCAACATCTTTTCAAAGGGGGTCAAAGACAGACTCTTCCTTGCCCAGAAGACTACCTAGAGCGGCAGGGCATGAGGGGAAGCTCTGCTAGTGCCCCAGTGAAGCTGCTCGATGAACAGTGAGCTCGTGGATTGATGCTCCCAGATCTGCACAAGTGAATCTCATCAGGAGCTCAGGAAACTGATGCAATAATTGATGAACAGCTTTCATTTTCACGGCAGTAATTGGGAGGGTTGTAAAGATTCATGACACAGTTCAGTCTTGCTCAAAGGAGACACCTGCTTATTGCGAGCTTCAGAACAAGAGTCTCTTATCATCTACAGRGAAGTCTCATTAAGTATTTTTCCTTATATCAGAGACCTGCATGAGATCAGAGGTGTTAACAACCTGGTAATAAGAAGCTGATTTTAAAATATCTGCTATTAAATGAATGAAAACATAATGATAAAAAGAACTTTAAACGTTCATTTAATATCAGGTGGGACCTACGCTTGTAGACCCCACTGCAGGCAGGCAATTGGAGGCATCTTCAGTGCCATGAGCCCACGGCAGGAGCACCGCTGGGGCCGCACGGGACCTGCCGCGCCAGAGCCCCTCAGAAGCGAGCTCCAAGGATCCGGAGATCCTCGGGACCGGCTGGAAAACGCAGGGACGCGCGAGTGGCCGCAATGCTGAACGACCCCGACGGTTAACGGTCCCAACGGCCGCCGTGGCGGCTGCGGCTCCGCCCCCTGTCCCGCCCCGCCCCTGGCGGCGGCGGCGGGGCGGGGCCGGGCGGGGCCGGGGCGGGGGCGGGCGCGTTAGTGGCGGCGCTTCCGCCTGGCGCCGCGGCCTGCGGCGGCGCGGCGGGATGCAGAGCCCGCGGGAGCGCGGCGGCCTGGCCCGCTTCTACACGGTCACGGAGCCGCGGCGCCACCCCCGCGGGCACACCGTCTACAAGGTGACGGCGCGGGTGAGTGACCGGCGGCGACACGGGCGCTGCGCGGGGCCGCCGCCCTGCCCGCGGGGTCCGCGAGCCGCGTTACGTAAGGCCGGGCTTACGGCGGGAGCCCTGCGGGAGCCGGCCGCCTTGCGCCGCGCTCTGCTGCGGGGCTGCAGGGCGGGGAGGAGTAACTGGGAGACGGGGATTCTCCGCGGGCGGCCGCGGGGAATGGCGCTGCCCTCCTCCCGGTCCCGTCCCGCCGCGCCGCAGCTCCCGAGCAGGCGGAGCAGAGCCGGGCGGGCGGAGCGCGCCTCTCCCGCGCGCCTCCGCGGGAGCTGCTCCAGCCCGAGAGCCCCGCGGAGTTCCCCTCTCCCTGCGCGTTGCCCTCTCCCTGCTCCCTTGGGGCGGGGAGAGTCGGGCTGAGTGCGAGAGGAAGGCTGGGTGCAGCAACGAGCTGGCTTTGGGGAGCACCAGCTTTGCTTCCGTGCCCCCGGGGAACGCTCTGGATTTCTTTGTTCCTCCGTTTTCCCCTCAAGCGAGAAAGGGGAGCAAGCTGGAGCTTCGTGGAGGTCAGCGTGAAGGGCCTGGAGGCTCCATCCGCACATAGAGAGAGCATCAGGAAGTGTCCTAGGAGTCTGTGTGTGGCCTTGCAGCTGCTGCAGATGTGCTGCCTTGGGAGCAACAAAGACYTGCAGGAGCCCCTGAAGGCCCGAGCACTCCCTGTGTGGATGCAGTGTCATGTGTGCGCACAGGCAGGCACSCACACACGTGCTGTAGCTCTAGGGTTATTGAAACACGATCGATTTGCATGACTTGAGGAAATACAGATCAATTCTTGTTTTGCGCTTTTCAAATGCACGTGCAATAGTCTGCCAAACACAAGCATGGGAAGTGCTTGGAAGTACTTTTTTTTCTTTCCCTTAAGCCAAACAAAATGTGCTGTTTGTTGATAGAATAAAATACTGCTTTTTTCCTCTGACTCTAAATATGAAAAGCCTTTCTTGGGACAGAGTCAAGGAAAACAGTGTCTCCAGGTTTTTCCTCACTAGGTCATGGTGAGCTAAGTCCCTAAAAAGTCAATGCCATTATATCAGTGCAGTAGGGAATAGGGAGTCCTGCCCTTGTGTTTAGGACTGAGCCAAGACTTCTGTTTATTCTGCTCTAATGGCTTTGTTCTTACTGGCTTAAGTTAGTTAAAAAGGCACTCTGATGTTGTGGTATATGCTGAGTTGTTCAAGAACAAAATGCTTGTGAGGAATGTCACCATTCTCTWTGTCAAAAAGTTGTAGATCACTCATGTCTACGTAGTTGCAGATCACTAATGTAGATCACTAGGTCTCTTTTCGAAGTGACATAGCCTAGACCTGGATAATAGGCTGAATCTGAATGATTCCCAATGGAGCAGGGAGCTGATTAAAYTACAATGACCAAGTATGAGCTGACCAAGTGAAACAAAGCTGAACACAGATCCACAATTTCTCAATGCATTCTAGGACTGTAGGCCCCAAAGTGCCAAGAAAACCAAACCAAACAAAAAAACTCTCTTCTGGCACCTAAAACAAGATCTTTGGATTCACAAATGTGGATGTGTAAATAGCTTTTGTCTCTAGGGCTGTCTATGATGGGCTGTTAAGTAGTTGTTGAAGTGAGGATGACACTGGGAGAGTTAGACACTGCACAAAATCCTTTAAAATAATTTTGCATACATATCTATTTCTTTGTCTCTCTCTCTCTTTTTCTTTTCTCTCCTCTCTGCTTTCCTTCCCTCCCCTTCCTGGAGTCATCTGACTCCATGGCTAACTTGATAGCCGTGTGCTTATGGAAGTGTTGCTCAGCACCTTCAGGAAATTGCTTGGAAAAAGTAAGGGGGAACTTCCTATGGTGTTTGCAAGAACTTGGTTACTTGGCACATGCTAGTGGAGATTTCTGGTTCTTTCCCTTGATCTGTGAATGAATCCCTCCTGAAACCAAGTTAAAAGAGCTTTCTATTTCGATAATGTAAGTTGGTAAGTATGACTGAGAAGAGCACTTGTTTAGAGTGTCCTAAACATCTGACCCAAAGGCACGGCTGCCCCTGCAGTCTCTTCTGAATGTGAAGATCAACTGTTGTTATTGCTGACTTTCTGAAAAAGTCTTTGTTTATGGAACTACTTTATGAAGATCAATCCCTTTGTGTTTTCAAGTCATGTATTTTGTAGAAACTGAATACATTGGGAGATTTTGCAGGATAATACTATACTATAATAATATTTCAATAATACGAAGAGTATTGTTGAATGGGATCTGTAAGTACTAGCTACTAGTAAAGCTCTCATAATTCAGAGGATTATGATTATCACTGATAAAATTTTAACAAATTAAATTGGACATCTGAAGGACAGGATGGTCTCCAGTGCTTCGTTCAGCGGTGATGTACTTGATCTCTGTAGGATCACAAAATGGCTGAGTCTGGAAGGGACCTCTGGAGATCATCTAGTCCAACCCCCTGCTCAAGCAGGGACACGTGGAGCACCGGGCAGAGGGTGGCATCCAGGCAGGTCAGGCTGGCAGGCCAGSATCCTGCTGGCCTTTTTGGCCACAAGGACACATTGCTGCCTCATAGATCTCTTTGGCATATAACATGGTTATGCATTGCTCAGCTCACGTTAGTGGGTAGCCTAMTGATATATTTTTAAATGGATGAAAGTTGCTTGCATTATAAATATGCATAAGAAGCCAATTGCATTGATTCTTCTGCACTGAAAATTTGGCCAAGTCTCTGAAATATCATAGTTTGGATTGAAGGGGAAGACTTTTTTGTGAGGCTGACCTTCAGAAAAAGGATATGAAGATCAAAGTAGGCAACACGTAAATTATTGCATACTCAAGGTTGACATGGTGGGTAGATATAGAAAGTGATATAACATTAAAMCAAGTGACTGTGATATAGGCCTCTGGATTTTATTCCAGAGTCTTACTAACTATCTGGGTAATTACTCATCTCTCTGGGTCTCCTTCTGCCCATCTGGTAACTTACTTTGCTGCCAAAATTGTTGTAAGGCTTTAATTGAAGGTGAAGTGCAAAGCAGAGCAGCCAGTGTGGGCMCTTTGATGTTCTGCTGTGATGTGTAGTCATGTCTATGGGGTCTTCTCCCCTCACCCCAGCTCTACAGGTTCCTATAATCAAGAGTTTAAATCTTAGAAGGGTAGAGATGCTTTAGCAAATTCCACACGAGCTGCCTGGTAGTGAATGAAAGCACAACAGCCAAGGTTAAAAACTTGTAATGGTGCAAGATGTTAGACTTCTTAGAGTGAAGAGCAATTGAGGAGTGTTTTATCAATGTTGGAAGAAGATTTTAATGTGCAGGAGGAAAGAAATAACTTGGAACTGAGAAGGAGGATGTTTCAGGTTTTTGAAGAACATGATGCTGAAAATAAACCTTCCCTTCTGTGTCAGGTCTCCTTCAAAACATGTAAGGACTGGTGCCTTGTCAGTGTAGTAAGCTGATGCTGGGAAATCTGGGAAGATTCATCAAGCATTCCTGGGAAACCAGTGGGAAGGAGAGCACGTTCATCTGGGGAGTGTGGTGAGCACATAGCAAGAGGAAAGTTTGCGTTCACTGGTTTCCATCTTAGAGCAAGAGCTGAGCGATACTGGTGGTGCTGTTGGATGCTAATTTAGTCTGTAGGGTTGGAAATTGCGTGGGCTGCTTGGACTTGCCTGTGTACATCATTTACTGCTGTTTTGGGGTGTCTCAGTGCGTGGATAGTCTTAGGCCAGGAATGCCCTATGTTGGGCATTTAGACCTGGTATTTTTCAAGAATTTTGGCTGAGTTATAGTGGAAGCTACACACTTGTGCAAGATAATTGCAGCCATGAATTAAAGATACCTTAATTTGATTTGCTTGTTTGTGTGGGTAAGCTGTTGGCAGGCCTGATATAGAACTTGGGTTTCAGAGGCTTCTGCAATCAATATTTATTTAAAGACGAAAGCCTGACAAAATACAGGTTTCTTTGTGGTATGGAGCCAAGCCTATTTTTGGCGTGGGTTTTCCTGAGGATAAAGTAATTTATAATTAATCAGGTAAAGGGTTTTTAAGGAGAAGCAAAACACAAGGGCCCAGTCAGCTGCTGTGAGCTGTGCTGTGAAGGCTGTAAGTCAAGTGGAAATACTGTCCTAGTAAATGCCAAGCCTAATATTTGTTGTGAAGTTGTGCACAGCTTTTATCAAGCCAGGAGGCTGTCGCTGACCCTCGTAACTGGAACTAATGTGACCCYAATAGGAATTTGTGGGAAAAGACTAGAAAGATTGACCGGGTTGCATTCTTTGCAGCTTTTTTGGGGGAGAGGGGGATGCTGTCTTTGCCTCTTTGCATTGAACTTTCACCTTTCTGTCTGTCACAATTATGTCCAGTGTTAAAATACCTTGCTATGATGCATTTGGATATTGAACTTCTTTAATACTGGGGGAAAAAAAAAAAAGGAATGCAACGTGAAAAAGAATATACCTTCTTTTTCCTCTGAGATTTTTCTTTTCAGCAAGAGATCATCTTATACTTCTCTTCCAAAATGAAAACCCAAGCACTGATTTTTTTCTTTCCTTTTGCTTTGCATTTCAGATCGTTTCAAGAAAAAATCCAGAGGATGTCCAGGAGGTAACGTTTTAAATTTGTGCAGATATGTTTGTGTACTGTTTTGGGGCTTTTAAAGCATCTTTGACGTAGTTTAGCTTTTTTTTTTGTGTGTGTATGCGTATGTTTAGTCATTGTAACTGAGCTGACAGGTTTTTGTGTGTTTCCATCTGTCTTTTGCTTTCAGTTCAAAAAGCAAATAGTTAGCATAGCATATTGCAATTCTGCCGTCAGCAGCGAATCGTGACTTGAAACAAAGTCTTAGGCAGTAAAGTGTCTTTTGATGACAAAACTGCTTTGATAACTTTGGAAGCTTTTTTCTCAAGGCTGAAATTGGCAAATTGCTGGTTACTTAACTCCTACTGGCAAAATTATAGATCAGTCCACAATCCAAGTCTTATGTCTCAGCTGTAGGTATGCTTTCCCTCTTTAACCAATACTTCACTGCAAAGCCTACATCATTATTGCCTATTAGTGAGCAAGAAAAATGGAGGACTGTGGGAGTAGTTGAGAGAGATKAGACTGCAATTCATATGTTATGTGGCTCTTTGAGGCTCCTTAAGTATCTTTCTGTGATATAGTTTGATAAAACTTAATTGCTTGCTTTTTGCCTTGTCGGAGAAACGTGAATGAGGAGCGAATGTATYTCTGTGGCTCTTTAATGTCTCGAAAGAATGTCAAGAACCTTTTTATTGAGGCAAAAAACTACATCACACTTTTATTTTGCTTCAAAATTTAAAAAAAAAGGTGAAAGACCAGTAACTAGATGTGTAGATATTATTATACTATGTACATGCAAAATCCTCCTTCAAAAGCACAGCCTTGTAGCTTTTCAGGTAGTGAGAACTGTATGGATATGCAGAATTTCTAGTGCAGTTTCTTGTCGCAGTTGAGGAAAATCTGGAAAGCTGATGAAGGAACAGCCCTTTGCAGAGGTGAGAGTTGACTAATATTCCTTTGTTGCATCCCTCTTTGAGGCCTGGAGAATCAAACAAACATGGGCTTTCATGTTCTTTTGGTTCTTTTTCATCTCTGGAACGTTAAAATAGCCTGTCACTGTCTGAGGAAATGATCGGGGTCTATTTTTTGAATGGCGTTATTGTAGTTTGCAGCTTGATGTTCACCTTTTCCAGGTAGGCTCCTGAATTGAACCTATCCATGAACACATTCTGCCTTTACCTTAATCTTCATTTGTGGGGGAAAAAACACTTTATTATACCTGTTGATGAGCCATTCATCAGAAAAATGTTGTAAGTGTCTTTCAGCTAGAATATTGCATGAATATATGATAAATAGCTTGAAAAAAAAAGAAAAAACACCCACCCCTTATTGCTATGATCATGACTTTGATCTGTGGATATAGGTTAAACATGCAGGATTTTGTATTCTTCAGTCAGCAAGGAGACATAATTATGTCATGAGCTTGAAGCTTGACATTTTCTCACCCTTCACTGTAGCATATGAAGGGTTTTGCATGTGATAGCCTGAAGTTCATAATTAAAAGTAGTATAATCATGGGTGGTAGTTGCTGTACAGGTGAACTGTAGTCACAAAGCTACATGTATCGGGAGCTTTTCTGCACAGCTGTACGTCAGGCTGTGTGCTGTGAGCTCGCTCTACTTGCTAACTTTGTCACTTCAGGAACTACCTTTTAGAATATAACCCTACAACATGAATCCTTCTTACTGCACCTAATTGCAGTTTACCCTAAAGATTACTGTGAGACAGGAAACAAGACAACCTTGTAAGTGTTTTTTTGCTAAAAAGATGGAAGTGATTTGTCATCAACTATTAGATRAAGAAGTTTTAGGTGCAGAATGGCTAGTGACTTTTATTTTAATTCCCTTGCTTTCAGGGTGGATACTGACAACAGGATTTGTGTAACGACTGTACCTATTTTGCAGTAAAGGCTGTCTTCTAAGTAKCTTTTTCTGTACAAAGAGAAACGGTTGTTCATTGTGCAATGGAGGGGTCAATGCATTAATAGACATCCAGTAGTTCTAGCCACGACAAGCAGCCTATTGTGCTATGAATCTAACGTATGTTTTATGATACGTTTGCTGCTGCGCTTCTTTGGGCATCRGAGTACAGGGTGTCCTTCTTCCTCCAAATCTGATTTTTAATGAGATCCCACTGGAGGGGGAACTTGCCAAACTTTGCTGAGCCTTGTGCATGCAGCCGCACGATTTGCACAAGCTTGTGAGAAAGTTATATGATGACTTGGATTCGTTTGCTTTGCAGGCTGTTTATGGGTATTTGTTTTCTCAGCTTGGCAGTCACTAAGTCACTTGCAGCAGCAGAAATAATACTTCTTTAGTGAAATAGTATATTATGCTTCTATATTTTTGGCAGCTTTTCACACTGTCTCCCAGTACTAAGAGAACAGTAAGTTGATGGTTTGAAACTTTGYGGTCTTGAGCAATCTTGGTTTGCGTGTGTATTGCTCAAGAAATGCTGATCATCCATCTTCCGTAAGTTGATTAGACAGGGGTGCAACACGAAAATCATCAGTCATTTCTGATAACAAGCTGCYGTTTTGAGAGATTTCGGTTTTTGTTGCCTCGGCTGTTGCACTACTCTATCAGGTACTAGTTGCAACTGAGTCCTTGGTGAGYTGCAACTGAATCAGGACAGCTAATTTCAGTATGGCTACGTTTATAAGGTGGATAGAGTTTTGTCCAGTTATTTTTTTTTAACCTGAAAGCAAACTTACTAGCACTGAAGTGCCAATTTGGTTGCTCAGTTCTTTCGTAGACCTGATTTTCCTAATGAATTCTTCTTTTTCCTTGAGTTTAAAATTACAAAGAATGAGTAGGAAGGAAGGTAAGACTGATGCCTGGCTGAGAGATGACTTTCTTATCAGGAGAGACGAGGACAATTTTTATATCTCAAGTGGTGTAATGATCTCCTTTCAAGTTGAGGATTTGTGTCTACGTTACAAAATAAATGTATTTAGTTTTTGTCAGTGTTACTGGTCCTCAACCCTTGAATTGGGCTTGTACTTGCACATGGTTAACATTTTTCATAAACACATAGAACAAATTGTTGTTTGGTCATTTTTATAATGCTCTGTCCATAAGCGTCATTTAATTGTGTTGATTTCATTTCCCTTTTTTTCTTTTTTTTTTTGTTTTTGCTCCTTTTGTTTTTGTTCTCCCTCTTAACTTCATACCTGCAGCTGTGCTGAGCACAGCTTGGACCTGAGTTTTGGATGGTGAAACACTTTTATCCTGCCTTTTTTCTTCCTCTTTCGTTCTGATTCCCCATATAGCTCTGGATGGCGGTGTGGCTGATCTCTGAAACTGTTGCTTTTGCTTTCTGTATTTCTTCCAGTTTTTATGCAATGTTGTCTATACATTGTAGTTTTCTTAGGCAAAATAGAGTTTGTGGACATAATATGAACCTATATTACTTGGCAGTTCACATTATATGTTTAAGTGTTATAAATATTTGCTGAAGGTAGTAATCTAATTTGCTTAAAAATGTGTTTTTGGTGTGTCTCAAATATGAGCAATGAACCTCACTAATATTTTTTTTTAACCTTTCTCTGCTTCAGATAATTGTTTGGAAGAGATACAGTGACTTTAAGAAACTGCACAAAGAGCTCTGGCAAATTCATAAAAATCTATGCAGACACACGGAACTATTTCCTCCTTTTGCCAAAGCAATATTATTTGGTAAGCACAGTTTCTTCCTGAATTGCTGATATTCTGTGATAACTCCAATACCTGCAAGTAAAGTACGTCTTGTTTTGCAGCTCTGTGCAAATCTTCTCTGTGTTTTTAGTACTCAACCTTTTATCTCATAAATGTCTTTACTGTTGATGTGCTGATGTCACAGCTTGATGAAATTTTGGCAGGCCTGGTTATGTTCTTTTGCTCCTTTTGTTTTAGATGTAGAATATATATATGTATAAATTAATAAATATAATCTCTACAGTGCTACAATTACAAAAGTAGCTGTGGACTAAGATTTCACTTTGTCCTTCTAGTTGAATAACCCCCCTCKTCATCTCCCAGTTCCTTTTAATCAAGGGCTGTTAAAACCAAAAATCAAGCCATTTTGCTTAGTTCTGCGCTTAGTCTGCTGACAGTACCCATTCAAAGTAGAGATAATCCACACTGTGCTACATCTGGCCATCAAATAGCTATTGGGAAGATGTTTAGTCAATGGTGGTTCAAGCTGTATCTGCTCCATGTGCTTCCACGTTCCTTTGGAACACTCTCCAGTGCCCCCTAAAAGGCTTGAGAACTACTCGCAAAATGTCAGTAATAAGAGGTCTGTTGCTCCAGCCTTAACAAGGAATTTATTAAGATCATCTGGGTATTTCACCTGACAAGTGGAGGCATACAGTGATTGGAAATCTGCRCATGAGCCCTCTACCTATTTTTCTGCCTTTTAATTTTATTGTTTAAATATTTTTGAGGGGGAGGATGGAGGGAGTCTAGGAGAAAAGGGAGGAGGAAAGCGAGGGGTTTCTTCCTTCCAATACATACCTTGTGCATTCATCTGTTGGAAACCACATAATCCTGAGCTCGCTTGCAGTGCGGCAGCGCGTTTGGGATCTCCTTCCCACTGACAAGCTTGGATACAGATGTGGGCTGTGGCGAGCAGGGAGTCATGTGCRCCGGCAGGAGGCACATATATCCCGTGGGAAGCTGCTGTTTCTTTTTCTAGCAGAGCTGCACTGAGAAGTGTTGCTAAGTGATGCATAAGGTACTGGCTGTAATAAATATCCCTGTTTTTTTGGTAGTCTCTGCAGTGTTTGGGCATGCATTTAACCTAGATTTTGTCCAAAAGCCTTGACTGCTTCAAGAAGGGCTACGYGTGTGCAAGAGGGCTGCCAATTTGAATTCCTCCTTAAGTTTACCTGCAGAACTGGAGTGCTCATTGACAGCCGTTTTTTGGTGTTGTTGCCCGTCCCTCTCCTCCGCTTCCTGGTGTGTTTGACTGTTATGTTAAAATAAATGGATGTTGCGGCGTGAGGCCTGCCCGTGTGGGAAGGGCCCACACGGCGGGAGGTGGTTCAGTGACCAGAGAAGTTGGCAAAAACAGCCCCCCGACAGGCCTGACCTCAGCCTGGAAAGCACCAGCCCTTCCCCTCCTTGAAGTTTCCTGCCCGGTTACTGCCTTGTTCTTGCTCCTTAAGGGTATTATATTTAATTCTAAGGATTACAGTGCTTACACAGCAGCAGGAGATGTTTTAAAGTACATGCAAACACAAACAACGCTGTAGTTTGTAAGCCAACTCCAAGCTGAGCTTTGGGGCAGTTTCTGCCTTAGCTGTTTCACGTAAGAAGAGGTTAAGTGAGAGGCAAAGAAGCTGAGCTGTGAGCTTCATTTCATGGCTCTCTTGGAGAGCTGKCTTTTATACTAGGTTAAGGGATATCTGATTTTTATGTCTCTCTTTGCTTGCTGGTAAAGTTAAAGTGAAGCAAGCCTCAGTGCTGTATCAGAACTTGTGCCCTAGTGGTTACATAGGGAATGTTTTATTGATGTGATCTTGATGGTTTTAAATCTGATTTAGAGATTAGTGTGTTCACTGGACAAGGTATTTACAAAGCTAACATTTGCAGATGGTAATTTAAATTCAGGTAGAAGATACAGTAGATATTCAGAGGGGAGGGAAGAATAAAAGAACAGTGCAAGATGGCACCTGACTTCTAATTTCTTAAAAATAATTTTAATTTGACAGAAATGCAAGTCTCCTGCTAGCTGTTTTTGCACAAACTATAAGCAAGGGAAGAATTGTGGGTGAAATCCATTCTGAAAGACATGCCTCTTCTATTGTATGGGGCGAACAAAGTGACTGCAATGGACACTGTAACAGAAGGAAAKCTACGGAATAATTCAATGTAGCTATTGACAAAAAGCTCTTTGAAATGAGAGGGGAAAAAGAAAAACAAACCCAAACCCACTACATTTGAATGAAAAGCCACAGAAGMATACAGGAAAGAGGAGGTAATGTAGAAATGAGCTGTAAAATGCTTAGTATGTAGATGAAAGGATTGAAAACATCTGATTCTTTTCTTGAAGTTAAAAGTTACACTAACTGTAGTGTAAAATTTTATTATTTATCCATCTGTCTTATACTTAGTAGCTGCTGTATGTTTTATTTCCATTTAAGGCTTTTATCTTTAGATATGTCCTGATTTTTGTAGCAGAAGACAAAAAGTAATCTGAATAGACTACAAAATATTTTGATTTTCAGACATTTGAGTCTCAGTTAATGATATCAGTTTAATGATGAACTTCAAGATTAGTCTCAATTAAAATCTTTTGCTTTCAGACTGCTTTAATAGAGCATTTCTGCAGTGCCTCTGGTGCAGTGATGTCTGGCTTGTAGTAATTTTTAACTTAGCTGCTTAATAGCATCAGCAGTAGTTCCTGGCCATCTGTTGAGTTTATTTTTTAATGTATGTGCTTTAACACATACGTATTGTTTTGTGGTAAGTATCTCTTACAAGTGAGTGTTGTTGACTGTTCGTCAGACTCATTTGGTGTGGGCACAGAAGGTATTAAACCTGAGCAGGATCTCGAGTGCAGCATTCAGGGTGTTTGGAGGTGGCGTGGGGAAYTGAGAAGTGCTTGAAGACGAGTGAGTCAGGATGCACTTCCGTGTTTGGTGCTAAAAGACATTTGTTGCATCTGCAGAACGGGGCTATTTGCATGTTTTGCAGCACAAGATTTGAAAACAATAGTGTGCAAGTGCATGTATTTTATTCTGTTAAAATAGAGCTGCTGACATCAAGGGATGAAACTTGGGGATGATGGGGGCAGGAAAGAAATCATTTTGCTTTTCCTGTGCTGTGCTAGGCCCTTTTCTGTCCGTCGTAAATGGAAGAAAAATAATAACCTGGAGCATGGGAATCTAAAATGGAGAAAACGGATCCAGCTGGTAAAGCTTCTCTGAGTTGTTATGTGGCTGTAATCTATTTCTGGGGAGCGATTATTCTCATTCCCTAATATGCATCAAAATTATTTTTTGTATTTTCAGAATATTTTACTGGGCTATCCAAGTGTACTGTATGTTGGTTATACACTGTATTTTTTATCGTTTGTTAGGATTTTTAACAAGTGTAGCAATGTACTCTATTATACAAAACATTCCTYACCTTTTTGGGTCTATTTTTATATTTTAAAGTCCTACAAATACTGAATTTGAAGTTATAGCTTTAGCTTGCAATGAGTTAGGAAGATTGTTCACATTATAAACCTCGGATAAGGATACTGTTTCGACTTGAAGATGTCAAATAAAGTAACATCTTAAAGAATAAACTGTCCTGCGTTGTTGGAAGTGCTCTGAAAAATGAGCACAAGCCTTGCTTATTGTTTGCATTGTTAAATCTTTTCCAGAAACAGCAATGTGAATCCAAATGTGTATTGCTGCAAAGAGAATCCAATGGCTGTAAGAAGTTATCAACAAGTCATTGCTGGAGGGAAAGCTTAATCTTACTAGTGTGTTTTTTATGTGCTACAGTCACGCTTGGCACTTCTTGAAGCCCCAGAAAAGCATGATTTCAGCACTGACAGTTTCATTTGGCCAGTAGGTGTAAAGAAAAGCAAAAATAACATTGATTTAGATCTGGAAAGACTATGGTAGAAATGTTTGAAGTATCAGCTAGGCATGTAAATACCTTTGATTAACCTCTCCCTGATCAGATTTTCAAAGCGTTGAGAAGTTTGACCTTGCCTGAAGATGTAGAGAAAGGGAGGAGAAAAGGAGTGTTGGCCTCGAGGAAGAGGCGGGTGGCTGGATCTGAAGCTGCCTGTGCGATATGAGGTGGTCTGTGGGCAAACTGGTGTCATACTGGATTTTATTTTCTCAATGAGTCCTGCAACTGGTTATCCTCATAGTGTGTGGTGAGGCAGATGAGCTGGAAATGTGACAGTGACTAATGTTTTAATGGCTCTGTTCAAATTTTCTTCTTTTTTTTTTTTTTTATGCTCAGCTTCCTGAGAAATTAGCCGTATGTAGTTGTGCTGTCAAATTTTCGTACCCTATGGCTAATTGCAGCAACATTTAAGAGGGCCAGTGCCTGCAAATGCAGTCCTGCGGGGCTGGTGACGTGGCAGCTGTGTGAGGGGCGAGCCCTGGTGCCCCAGCGGGCACCCGGGGCAGGGCAGGGCCAGCTCTGCCCGGGGCTCYCTGCTGCTGCCCGGCCCTTGGGCGCCGGGAAAGGTTCTGCTGGGCCCAGCAGGAGTCCTGGGAAGGTGTGGAAGAGGAGCCGTGTATCTGGAATTTTGGGAGAGGGGGAGCTCTCTGGGAAGGCAGCGAAAATAACTGCAGCATTACTTTTTTTTATTTTATTTTTTATATTTTTTTCCAAACGTTGCGGGTTTCTCACCTTGTTGAGCACTCACCTTTTTTCAACCAATGTGTGTCAGTGTGTGTTTGGTAGAGTCACGTAACCAGTTTATGTTCCTGCACTTTGCTGAGTGTGTGTTTGTGGGTGGGTTTTTGGTTTTGGTGCTCTCCTGTTGTGCTGAGGATGAAACAAAAGTCGTAGCACACTCAGTGTTGCTTTCAACACGTGGGTAGTTTGAAGAGTTTAACATGGCCCAGTTCCTGTGCTGCCACTGACCAGGGTAGTGCTGCTTTTTTAAATTTTATTTTTTTATTTTTATTAACTGTTAGTAACATTTGTGCAGCTGAATGAGCATAGTGGACACATCACAGAATTGATCCAGCTAAAAATGAATCCAGCAACTTCTTTCTTTTTTCCCTTCATGGAAGAAATAACCCCCCAAAGCTTCAGTTTTTGATCTTCCTTGTAGACATGTATGTGTCTTTCTAGCTTATTTTCTTTTTGTTGTAGAGGTAGGAAGGACGTATTTACTTAAAGAGTTTCTGGAAAGAATCCTACTTTGATGCTTTCTTTGGGGATTATTTTTTTGTTTGCTCTGAGTGTAAATGAATTTTGCTTCTGTATTCAGTGTGCCTTTTGTCGTCTTCAAAGTTAATGCCACAGAGCCTTCACAGGTGGTTCTTATTTTTGCCATCGTGCTGTTAAGGCAATACTGAGTCTTGAACTTGTCTTCTCAGCTCTTTTTTCTCTATATAGGTGTTTCAACTCTCTCTTCTATTATCTTCCAATTATTACCGTTAACCTCTGCCCTTTTCTTTTGGTAAACTTGTAACTATTTCGCCAACAAAGTGATGTTGATATGAAAAGCTAAAAGAAGTTGTGTGCAATTGTGAGGAACGTAATTTTTTAGGTATAGGCTAAGGGTTTTTTCTCCCGAGGAGCGAATCTCTGAGGTGAACTATGGGATTGTTCTTTAAATATCTTTTCCTAACAGGAATGTCTTGAGTGGTGGGTAGGAAAAAGAGAAGGCTCATATGTTTTGGTAACCAAACTACCTCCTGGCTCTAATTACCTCTTGAATCTAAGAGGAGACGAGATCCTGCTCGCGTGGGGTTATTTTGGAGGAGGCTCCAGCTCCCCTACAGGTCCTCTCCATAGACGAGACGTTGGGGATGACTGTGAGTTTGGGAGCTTTTTGCAGCACTTCCTTTGCTGTCTGCTCCCCTYGTGTGTGGTTCTTGAGAAAACATGAAGAATGCTGAGCTCCTCGCAGGATTTGGGCCATAATCYAGGCTGACACTGACTGGCATATTGTCAGATTGTGCACGTATCACTTGCTGTTAGATAACACTGGACATCCGTTAGTGTCTCTTGGCTAATGAAGAGAGCTGCCTCGCATATTCCTACGATGAGAGTGCTAAGGATTCTTGTCGTAGCTGCCAATTTTCATCATCTGAGCGGGCTGCAGAAGACAGGACTCTAGGGACAGTGGAGAATAGGAAGTGTGAAGACTCGCCGTGTTTTCCTGAAGCAATGGAGTGACTTGCATAGATTCAGGGCATTGTCCCCAGAGGATGGCTTTTGTCTTGATTTCTGTTGTTGCTGTTGCAGAATAAATGTGTAGCTATTTCTAAAATTGTCAACCCATGTGTCTGTTCCAGGGCGGTTTGATGAAACTGTGATTGAAGAGAGAAGGCAATGTGCTGAAGATCTGCTGCAGTTTTCTGCTAACATCCCTGCCCTCTATAATAGCAAACAGCTTGAAGAGTTTTTCAAGGTTTGTTACTATTTGCAGAAGTATTTGCTGCTTATAGTGTGATTAAAGTGCGGTGCTGATTTTGTTTACTGAATAAAATGTGGAGGCCTGTGAGCTGGTTGGGTGCCATACCTCCACAAACTGAAAAGTGCTGCAGGAAGTTCAAGTGCAGGAGTTTAGAATTTTTGCTTATTGAAGGAGGAGGAAAAGGAGTGATGTTAAATCCAAATGTTCTGTTGGGAAGTAATAAAAATATGTAGTTATTTCCATAGTTTACATAGCTGTTTATAGTCTATAATCAAAAGTAGAACTATTAGCTAGACTGTTTTCTTCTGGTCTGTTATTACAGAGATCCATAACAGCAAACTTAACATGTTACTAATAAAACATGTGCTGCTTGAACAGTGACAAGGAACCATTCTCCAAAACATATTTTAGATCAGGAATTTTTCTGTACTTCCTTTGAGGCACTTTTAGAATTATTTGGAAATATTTCCGTTATTTTGGGGAAAGAGCTCTAAGCAAACACCTTTCTCTGCTTAACAAAAATATATTTAGCCTTCTCATAGGGCTTTTTGTACTTAGGAGRCAATGAATAAACTAGAAAGGCTTTTTGTTTTTGAGGAGTTAAGTGTACCTACATGAACTGTGCTTGTGTCGAAACCTCAGCTCTTTTTATTACTTTATGTTATTTCACATTTTTTGATGGGAAAGACTTTGCTTTTTATTGCTACTCTGTTTGCTCATCTAGTTTCCCCCGGCTCTTCTCACTGGTGACTTCCTTGTTTTTCAGATTTTCTTTGTGCAAATAGCCAGGGGAAGGTAGACTTGGACAGCTGAGTATTACATAGTCCTGGAGTGCATGCTGTGTGTATCTGCATTTATTGACCCAAGAGAGATGGGCTGGCTGATGTGACTAGCTGTGCCGAGCTAGTTCAGGGCAGGCTAGGAAGGCCCGTTTGTGACACTACCCYGGGCATGGTGCAGATTCTCATTCATTTATATGGGAAGTTGGCACCTAAGATGTCGAGCAGAAATTTTTAGAAAGCATTTAAGTGCTTTCTCATGTATTTGTTCCTCTTTTGAGAGGGGGCACACTGCAAATGGTATGACTTAAAACGTATGCAGTTACATTAGAAGGATTCAGTCAGATTTCATTTCACCCTTGGAAATCTGCAAGAAGCTGTTCTAGCAGCAGCAACTAATTATAGAAATTTATTTCCTCTTCCTTTTCAGGGTGGGGAGGTACATGATGGTTCTGAACTGATTGGTCCTGTTGAACCTCTGTCCGATTCCCTGACTGACAACCTGTCCGACTGCAGCTCCGAAGGTTTGCTCTGTCTCTCTGTGTACCCTGCTCGCTTTATTTGGATTAAAGCAGTGATCAAGTGGCTCGCACCGTACTTGTAGGAACACTAGCGTCTGGCTTCTCTCTGCTTTGTATTTGGGAGAAATGGCAGAACTGGGATTAGAAAAGAGAAGTTGGGCTCTGCAGAGTGCAGTCTGCCCCCACCCTACTTCTAACTATTCGCTTTCTGGGAGTGTGTCTGGTCAGCTTTAGAAATCCTAGTGCTCTATCTCTCAAAATGAACTTCCTTTGGTCCCACTGTGAATTGAACCTTCCGGTTTAAATATGCCTAATCCTGCCTKCTTTCCACCTTATTTTCCAGTAACTTCTAGGATGTTTGTGAATGAATATACCCACAGTCTTTTCTTCCTTTGTAAAGATACYAAGATAGAGGGTTAATTGCAGGGAATAGTTGTTATATAGAAAGCTTAAAGGAGCACTATTTATGTGAAATTAAAGGCTTTAGGTTTTGGTAAAGCATCCATTTTATACTTTACTGTTATAKAAAATTGCTTCTAAAAAGTAACTGTTTATGTTCCTCAGTTGCCATGGGCTTGTTTTTAGGAGAAAAAAAACATTGCCTTTATGTGAGATAACCATTYGTCTCTTCACCATCCTATAAAGTGGAAAAACAAGCTTTTTCTGAACTGACTAGAGTGATTTTTGAGGGATTCACAACAGCAATGTACACAGGATTTCCAGATGCTGAATACGACTTTTGCGGAGTTCTTGTTTCCACATGTTCAAAACCACACCTGGAGGTAAAAACCACTCCCTGGAGGGAGAGAAGGAAACAGCTATGCTAAGTCCTCTAGATGGCAGTGGCAGTACTTGGTTCTAACATCTCTGCCCTCTTTGGTTTGAAGTTATCCTACCTACATTTATTTTTTTCAAGTCTGATCATTATAGTTAATTGTCATCTAGTTCACTTTGTTAGTTTTTGTCAGCCTTCAAAGGCCTTTGCATGGGCTCTCTTCCTCCATGCTCTCTTGCTAAGAAGCACCAAGACCATTGCTTACCTCAAGCTGGAATTGGCTTACCAGACTTTGTAGCATTTTCTCACTTTTACCTGTTCTTCCAAGAGATTGCCATCAGAAAGTGTGTGTATTAATGGTGGTGACCCTGTGGCCTTTTGAAAGGCATCATGCAACTACTGCAAGACTTGTCCTAGCCCCTAGTAGGGCTGGAAGGACTGATGCTAGATCTGAGCTTTAAACCCTGTCCCTTGACAGAGTTTATTAGCTAGGCTCTGGGCCGTGCTAGGTGTGTTCATGCAGGTTCAGGTCAAGATGGCTGCAGGARTGGAGCAAGCGTCAATTTGGACCATAGATAAGGGAACTTGAGGCTGTCTAATGTCTAGATGAGTTCTGTCTCTAGGTGAGTCTGTCTAGATGTGTTCCTAGCATGGGTGGCCAGCACAGTCTTCTCGCAACCCCCCGACTTTTCCATTTAATTGTACTATTTACATGCTCAAGCAGTTGTACTTCCACCTATATAGTCCCTAACTAGCAATTTATCTTTCCTCAACAAAATCATGCGACTTCTCTAGACATTATTTTGTAAACTGAGTCTTCAGCATCGAAATTCAATGCTTGTGCCCCTATATCAGGCAGGCATGCAGCTCATCATTAACACACTAACGAGTCTCCTGGTTTCCCCCTAATTTCTGTTATGAGGTTGCCTTCCTTTTTATAGGGCTGAGAGCTACACAGGCAGTTATCTTAGTATTTTCTCTCAATCATTCTGCTTGATATTYGTTCCCCTACAAGATCAAGGGCATCAACTTCTGTTCATCTTCTCCCCTCCTCTCAGTCTATGTCACGAAATATCACTGTCCCTTTTTTCATAGAAAGTCAGCAGCTGCTTATCTGTTTTCGTTCTTGTCTCCTTTTTCCTCTTATTCACCTTAAAGAAGCTGTTAGCTTTAGCAAAGTGACRTTTCTATTGCACTTGGTGGGAAGTTGCATGCCTTCCTTCTTCCCTTTCATGAATTGCAAAATCCATTTACCTCTGGAGCTGCAAAATCTAAAATGAAGTTTGAATCTTTTTGAATCTTTGTCAACTCCTTGCTACTGCCCCATAGAATTTAAAGATAAACCAGGATGCTTTATCTGATGATGCGGTAACATCTTGACTCAACTGGTAATACAGAGGGAATCCTGTASCAGGTTTTAGCTCAAAATTTCCTTTCTCTGTATGCAAACAGCTAAATGTCTTGAACGTTGTTGCCTACTTGTTTATTACTTCAGTGGGTCCATGTGCCAAGGTGATAAGACAAGCTGCTACTTGATATCCAGGTGGCATTGCCAAATTGATGGCTCATTCCATATGTCTCATGCAGGATACTACCCTGGAATGACATTTCTGAGAGTGAAAACTGGCATTTTTTTTCCTAGTGTGTAGGTGTTGGTCCCAGCTTTCCAGGTTCTCCAGTTTTAAGTCTCCTTAGTTGTAAATATCAGAACAGTGAGAGACGGGTTTTAAAGTGTTACTACTGTTGAGTTTGGGTAAGTTGACAGGGTACATGTCTTGCTTTGATCAACTAAGGCAAGAAGAAATGACAAGTCTAATACCACTGCTACAATTGTAATGGCTTGATACCAGAATTAAGATCTCTGATAGCTAGTCTGAGAGCAGTTTAACGTTATGTATTTTTACCTGTAGTTCATGTCCTTTTATTTTTGGTGCTAATTGCACAGCTATTCGGTTATGCTAAAGGATGTCAGCAACACTTTTGTCCTTCTTGTTCTTTTCAGTTCGGAAGGATTTAAGTGGGCTTGATGATGTGACACTGACCAGCCAATCGGAATGTGGAGGTGAGATCTGAGTGTTGCTTCTATTACACTTGTAGCATTTAGATTATTATAAAGTCATAATTATGTGTGAACACTCTTTGTGGATGCTGATCCTTACTGAATGAAGTGGTGTAGATGTGAAATGCCTTTTCTGCCGCTTAGGCAAGAACATCACTGCTAAGTTGCTGTGGTTTTGACTGCCAGTTTGCAATAAGTGTGTGTGCTCTCAGTTTATGGAAGATGCAAAATAAAATACGTTAGCTYACSTCTTTCACTGAAACTTGAGATAATTCATTTTACCATGTATTGCCAAAGAAGTAAGCTGTACGCATTAGCTGTGAGTAGCCTTGGGTTATGTGATCATGATAGATGTGAACAGTAACTGCTGTGTGAATTCTAGCTCCCAATTCAATATATTTGTGATGCTGTGCCTTACCAACTAGTAAGCTGACTGTAAAACAGAACGTAGGGATTCTTGTGATAGTAATTTGACTCCTCCCGATTCTCTTTTCTAAGAGTATGCACCCAGGGAGGCTCATAATTTCCTGCAACCCATTAGTAAGTGGACTTTGGAAGTTTAATATCATAGTTGTTTGTCCCCTCATTTCCAGTGCTACACTGAAGGGAAGGTCAGGGGATTTTGTGGCTAACTGAAAACAATGCATCTTCAGGTTCTCAAGAACTGGGTTTCTAACACAGGYTTGCATACAGGGAAATGGAGTGCAAAATGTCAGGAAGCTCAAAAAAGAAAGTTAGGATGTTTAGTCTTACAGTTTGAATTGGAGCTGGTGTTGTAATGAAGAAGCTTGGAGGCTGCTATGGTGTGTAAGAAATCTAGAGTTATGGATGTTCTTCTGATTTACACTTTCAGGACTCTCCAGTGACAGTGACCTGATCTCTCTGACAGTTGACGTAGACTCTCTTGCTGAGTTAGATGATGGAATGGCATCCAACCAAAATTCCCCCACGAGAGCCTTTGGTGTTGGTGTTTTGTCCGAGTCTCCAGCACAAAGCGTGGTGGCATCTGAGCAGGAGTGGAGCAAAACTGAAGGCGAGAGGGAGAGTCATGGTTTGTTTACTGGAAGCTTAAAACCCAAGCCTGGCAAACAAGATTACTTAGAGAAGGCAGGAGAATTGATAAAACTGGCCTTGAAGAAGGAAGAGGAGGAAGATTATGAAACTGCCTTCAGCTTTTATAGAAAGGGGGTTGATCTGCTTCTGGAAGGGGTTCAAGGTATGCATCTTCTCACTGTGTTTGCCTTATCTTTAGTTATGAGTATTTGGTTATGGCATTTCCTCAGTTAGCATCTGCTTAACTGTGTTGCACAGAAATGATGTGATGGGCAGAATGGTGTGTGCTCAGCTTTCCTGTGCTTGATTGCTGCTGTGCATATATGTGTGTGTGTGTGAGAGAGAGAGAGAGAGAGAGATGTTTCTCTGTCAGACTGAATGATAACGCAGGGGCTCCTCCTCTCAGTGCCAGGTATCTCCTCTCTCAAAACTCCAGCATAACCTCAGACTTGCTGGTAAGTAGCAGAGCACTACTTTTTTTTTCGTCTCCCCTCCTTTATATAGGCAATGCCTAATACCTAGGCATTAATTAATATGTGGCACTTGCAGCACTGTTGAAACATTATTTAATTTACATGGTTAAGTGAGAATTAATTATCCCTATTTTACGCATGGGGAGAGGCAGACTCAGGTTAACTTTCCTATCGCAGCAGGATTAGAACTATTYTTGGCTCCCAGATTCTTGCATGTTCCACTGACCTGTTCTTTTYCTAGCTAAAAGACACATGCAAACTTGCATCTCCACACTGCTTTAGGAGAACAGCATATTAAAAACAAACAACCCCCCCTGAACTCCCTGATATGTCAGTGTATGTCTGCAAAAGCTGCTGTTAGCTTCGTGGGTACAACTTGCTACAAACTCCTGTGGATTCCTCTTAGTCTTTGTTGGAATGTCAGTTGAGGAACTATTCTTTTTCTTCTTCTTTCACCTTTTGGCTCTTGAGAATCAGGAGTGATAGCTGCATTTATTTGTATTTTGTCCAAGAAGAGATTAGAAGTAATAAGCACAGGAAAGGGTTTGTTCTTTCCTGCAGGGAACTCGGTGTCCGTGTGTTGTCCTGCACAAATCRGACAGGGAGGATTAGAACCCTGGCTGTATTTGCCAGTATGTGGCACATAGGTGTTATGCTGCCCTAGAGCTGAGCTTCAGAGCTAACGCACCAAGAGATGYAGAGGCCTTTGCACTGCAGACACTGAACAGTTCTAGGACTTAAAGTTACCTGCTGAGCTGGTTTAGCAGGGGCCAGTGATAGCAGTGGGGTTGCTGGTTGATGCTTGTTGTAGCTTTTTAGTAGGACCTCATCTTGCCCATGTTACCAATGTGCTTTTCACTCTTGATGGTGAATGTGTTGGCAGACTGTCAGTAAGCATGTTGCTTTTGAAGCTGTGATGTCCTTATGCTAATATGTTACCCTACAGCTGTGGAGGGCTACACCTGCGTGCATGGTAAGGGACTGGCTCAACTTGTTAAACCAGGGTGAGCAGAGCCCTTAGTTGCAGTGGGGAGCCTGTCCTGTAAGGACTCTTCATTGACTAGCTACTCATCCTGCTGCCTCACAGGCAGAATATCAAGGAGTCTCAGCAGTGTGTGACTCAGCCCTGTTTGTTTCTCTGAGGCTCAGACATTACAGTGGGAGGCTATAACACATTTGTGGTAGTGGTACCTATAGAGATAGGGCTTCCTCTGTGGATGACGATGTGTAGCTGGCACTTGCACATTCTGGATAGCCTGTGACATTTAGTCCTTACAACACAAGGGAGAGAATAATCAAACTGAATTGCTTTTCACCYGGCGTCTTATCCCTTGGGAAAATACAAACTAGCCTGTGTCCAAGTCAGCTCTCTTTTTTTCTCCTTGCTCTCTATTACCCTCTGTGGCTGTGGAAATGGARAAGAAATGGATGGTCCATCCTCTGCTGAGCTCTTTCCTGGATTTGGGTAGATCCAATTCATCTTGTGTCCTGTTATTTCTAGAGCTTCTACAAGCTGGCAGGGAGGTTCTGGTGTCCTCCTCATAGTGAGCAGGCCGATTCCAACCACAAATACTTTCTAGTTATTCAAGACTTTTACTCCTTATAGGCATCTGTGTGTCACTTTTTAATCTATGTGTCACTTTTTTAATCATGTTTAATGTTGAAACATAAATATTCAATATCCTATGTAATAAAAAGCCTGAAATCACTGTAGCTAATTAAATACATCTAGTTAGAGTTTTCACACAAAAATATGCCTRTTTCGAAGATAAGGATGATGCAGTTGTTAAAGCATGTTTCTGGTCTTGTAACTGATGATTTCAGACTATTTTGTGTAAATCAGCTCATCTGTGTATAAATATATATAGTTTACACCGTGTTTCACTTTCAGGTATTAGTGTTTTATCTTACTCTCATATAGAGTGGAGTGAAAGTGGCTTTTGCATGTCAATACATGCAATGTGGCAATACATATTTTTGCCACATGGTGGCACCAAGCAAATAGAAATAGACACTAAAAACCTGAACTCAGAAAATGTAGGCAGGGAACCCGGAAGAATCCTTGTCACTTGTCTGTTTGAAACTTGCCTCGGAATTGCCTCTGGAACATAACCAACTTGGAGGGGCTTTTCACTTATCTGAGACGAGCTTCTTGCCAGCCACTCCTTTTGCTTGCTACAAGGAGATCTTTTTATTCCTTAAGGCTGGCTTATCAACACCGTGTATGGGTAAATTTATTACTGCAACTCTGTAGACTTGTTCAGTTTGAAGTAGCTGGCTTCTGAAAAGGCAGTCGGAGCATTCGGGGCCCTTTCAGTTTTGATCCCTTTCTTAGTGGGTGGCACGTACTCAGAGGAGGCAGCGTGCTGCATTTGCTCACACCGAGGGAGCATCTGCCTTGACTTGGTTGTTACCTCTGGGTATATGCTCTCAGAAATGTGGTGCTGTTAAATATACACGTGTGAGCTACCCGTGTATTTTCTTCTGTTGCCTCTTGTAGTGTTTGAATTCTGAACCTCTTAATGCCCTGCTTACGGTCCTGCCAAGAAGCCTGGTGGGCCGTGACGTAAAGGCCGGCTGTGCGGAGAGGCTGTTGTGTAACTTGCACTCCGGACATCTGCTCTGTGAGCGTCTTAGACCTGACTCTGCTCCCTGTGTGTGCTCCCTGTCACATGTTGGCACCGGGCAGGAGCAGAGCAAGCTCTTGACATGGGAGCAGAGCCCTTGAACTACCCATTCCTCAGGTTTCTTAGTTTGATTCATTACAGATCCCTCTCTTATCCAGTGAGAGGGAATAATAGCTCCTGTTTCCTTTTTCCTCTGACTACCTACCCATTCTGCTGCCCCTTTTGCATTTGAGTGTGTGCAAGGCCAGAGCTTTTAGAAGGCAGGTCTGTAATGGGCTGTGGGGTAGTGAATTAGAAAATGGTCAGGCAATTCTTTAACCTTCTGGAATTCAAATCTTTCAGCTTTTTAAACGTATTAGAAGGTAAATATATTAACTGCTAGAAACCTTGACTCACAACTAGAATTGTTCCTTTGTTTTATTGGCATGTGACAGCACTTTGAGGTCAATGTCTTGCTTCAGGCCCAGTGGTGGAAAATACACTAACTGATAGCAAGCCACCAACTTCTAGTCTGCAAGCCAACTGTATGGTGTGCAGAGCTAGTGCTTTCCCTCACTGTGCTGCAGAACATGGTTTGTGTCGTGTTTGGGGGACAAAAAAACAGATTGAGAGGCTGATATTAGGGAAAAGAGTAAAGGAAGGAATCCCTACTTGTTCACTGCTCTTTTTTCTACCTCCAACTGTTCTGGCAACATGAGCTTTGGTATAAATGGATAGGTTGGTATAAATGGACATTATTATAAGTTGTCCATTTATACCATCTTTGGTATAAATGGACAGCTTGTATATTGCTGGTTTTCAGGAACTTCCAGCATGTGATAAAGCAGGAGCATTTCGTAAGAGAGCCAGGGACCTTTCAGCAATATGGTCAGTCTGTGCTGAGTAGAGAAGTACCAGATCTGATTCGTAAGGTTAAGCAAGTAAAAGTGCATTAATTGCTACTGCATTGCACATGAAGCTCCATGTTAAGCGTTAACACCTSCACAGAGACCATCCATTTAACTTGTGATAGATTTGGGGCCTTTGTTTTCATAGCAGCTACAGTTGGGTGCAGTGAATGTTGATCCTTTAAGGATCTGGGCAACATGTACTTTGATTGAAGAATGTGCTGCCTGTTAAGCCAACTTAGCAGCCACAACCTGTATTTTCCAGGTATCTGTCTTTTGCTTTAGGTGTCTATGATTTCTAGAAAAGCTGTGGGTGTCTTTGGAAGCAGCCTGCAGAAGTCAGTGCCATGCTACTTTATGTTATTTTTGTGTTTATCTAGTAAACAGAGCTGAAATAAAAATTACAGAAAACGCAATAAAATGACTTTGACTTTTAACCCAGARATGCATCTACAGTGAAATAGTGAGAGTACTTTGGACAATTAGATGATATTTCTGGACATTACCAAAAGCAAACTGACTTGTATCTAATTCCTGGGATTACGAAGGAATTTGATTTGAACCTRTGATGAAGCCAGGGCTACAAAAAGGAGCCCAAAAGACGGTGCTTCATGAAAGGGGGAGAAAGAGCCATGGCTTTCACGGCTGTTTCTGGCTTCCAGAGTGAAAGCACCTTTGCCTCTTGGTTGAATGGTGCTTCTGAAGCTTGTTTCTGTTGCAACAAAATAGTTATTTTGTGTTCCTTTCACTTGTTAAATTGGGTCCAYTGAATAATATGTAAGGTAGAAATCTCTTAGGTAGTTAAACAGCATCCTCTGCGAGGCTGTGGCTACCCAAGAGCTGTCTCATTACAGCTGCTTTTGAGGARGTGGCAAACCTGGCTTTCTAGGGGTGTTAGGGCCCCCTGGCTGGATGTCGGCCGAATCCAAATGAGGAACTTTGTGCTGATGCTGTGTGGTCAAGGTTGTGTTGGAGAGCTGAAGGACACTGGGTTTCCGTGGGCTGGGACACACAGAGGGGATGATGCATCAAGCCCTGTTTGGACAGGGTTGTCCATACAGTGCTGCCTCTCTTCTAGTGCCTTGTACAGCCATGATCTTGTAGGCCCTGTTTCAGTAGCTTAGGTGTCTGGGAAGGGCTTTTCTGTTGACTAGTTACCAGGTTAAGAAAGGATGT